TTTTTTGACATTTATTTTTGTCAAATTAGTTTATATTTTATTAAATTGATGATTTTGCCCTTAGAATTAAACAATGATATCTTCAATTGTCTTTATTTGGAACAAGATTCAAAATTCATGGTCAAATGTGTCACAATTAAAAAGTCAGGGACCAAAGTAACATGAGTCTTAAACTATAAGGACTGTTACTGTAATTTACCCTAAATTTTTTATAACAAAATTTTTACTTTCGAGGCAAAATTGATTGATCTTTTAACCTTTATATATTGTATGGATATGATTATACTAGCAACTCTTTTAATAAATTAAACTACTGATACTAGTACAAATATTGTATTGGCGCATGGATAATGGTCTTGTTTGGTAGAGCTGTGGGAAAGTGTTTATAACTTATACCTGAACAGCTTATAGCTTATAACTATGAGCATAAGCTGATTTCTGACTTATAAATTAAGCATCTCCTGCCCCACTCAAAGAATAAGTTGATTTCTGATTTTTAAAAAGCTATAAGCTAAACCAAACACATCAAAATAGCTTAAATAAAGCTGAAAGCTGAAATAAGCAGCTTTTAAGCTGCACCAAACAGGCACTATATCACATATATATAGAGTTTCCTACAATTCTTGTGTTGGGATTGAGTTAGGGATTGGATTTGGGTTATATATTGAGGTTAAATTTGATGTTTTAAGAACTTTAATGCCATCAAATTTTGTTAATTAATCTAATGGTAAATTTACAAGATGTGAAAATTGTTTTGAAATCTTAGTGGGTGGATTGTAATTTTCCAATATAAGGGAGTCAATTGTAGTTTAGTTAAACTTAAAAGGGATATTTGCAATGTACCTTTTAAAACGGGAACAAAAACTTGAAAATAAGATTTAAGGTTTCAAGTTCAAGTCACCCCAAGGACCACTGAAAGATTTGTTTGGCTGTTAACTTCAAGACCCTATAATTAGTCGAGATATATGCAGATTAACCTGAACAACCAGTTATTAAAAAAAGAAAAAGAAAAAAAAAAAGGCTTTACCAACAAACAAATATAATAAGATTTCTTTACTAACTAATGTAGCACATATTATATTATTGTAGTGGCTGAGTTTTCATTGCTACGTACTACATCTTTGTTAGTTTGTATAACATTTTTCAAAACAAAGTGTAGGCAAAAGCACATTTGTCAACCACAAGTTGAGCCAATCAGTGAGTGAGAGGACAAAAATCAAATTGGAAAGCTTGAACAACTCGAAAATCAAAACAACTACAATTGAAGACAGCACAATGAGCAAGGATAATTGGTGCAGTAGAATAACACCACACCCTTAGGGGGCTCATCCAAGTTTAAGGGCAATTGGTGCAGTTGAACAGCATTAGACTTTTACGCTATGTTTGGTTGAGAGATTTGGGAAATGATTTATTTAGAAAGGGAAACAAAAAAAGTGTGTGAAACTAGGTAAAATGTAAGCATATTTTATTCATATTTCATCTACCTTTTTCTTTTTCCTTTCCAAATCCCTTCTTAAATCTCTCAACCAAACACAGCGTTAGGGGTCATCCAAGTAACCAAAAAAAAAAGAAAAAAGGAGAGTGAAATACAGAACTTTAGCACAAGTCATCAGCCAACGATCTAAGAAATGAATTTGGCAAAATCTCTATTGGCTTCAAGTTTGGCCATGTCAACCTCTGCTAAGTTAATCCACACTTCTATGCCATCACCAGATCTAGTAGGCATCAAAATCACTAAATTTTGAAGGGCACAATAGTTATGCTAACCCATATAGGTCTCCCACACCCAAAATCAACTTCAGAGCATCTCCAATGGAAGCTGTCAAAGCTATAATTTAGTAAGAGTGAAAAAGAAGAAGTCTCCAATAGCTTGCTATTCCTCCTGCCAAATATAGCAAATGCCATTTCTGTTGTCAAATTTGGTAGGAGGTTTGGCATTTGCCAAACATGCCACATTATCAAAGATTAACAGAATTTTGGCTCCAAATAAATTGATCCTCTCATAGAAAAACCTCCCAAAATCTTTGAATTTTTTTTTTAATGCAAAATTTACCATTAAAAAAAAACAGAATTTGTTCATTTTTTGATTTCATAAATTCACAAATTTCACAAATTTTCTAGAAGTACCCTTGCACAAATTCACAAATTTCTCAAATTTGTGGAAGTACCCTTTCACAAATTCACAAATTTCAATGAAGAACAAGTGACAAATTTCACGAATTTCATAAATTTCATCAGAATGATTAGTCAGCCCAAATTTCACAAATTTATATAAATTTCTGAAGTAATCTATAACAAAATTAGAAGATAAATACTTGGATTCCAGCATGATTGATGAACTTGTTCATCTCAACCAAAATCGACCTCTAGAGTTTGTTCTTCATCGACTTCTAAGGCCCATTCCCAGACCGATTGAGCTCCATTGAAGTCCAAACACTGGTGTTCCATCGAATTCGAGAATCGGCGATCGAAGTTGGTAGTGGTGATCGAAATCACAGAGAGAGAGAGAAAGAGAGAGAGGGTCGACTAGTTTGAAGATGATCAACGTTGGTACTAATTATGATCAAAATGAAGATGGAGAGAAAATGGGTTGACTGTAGGTTTATGATGAAGATGAAGAAGAAGAAAAAAGGGATAGAGAGAGAGAGAGCGATGCTTAGCCCAAGGGGCAAAATCAGAGAGAGACGAAGAGAGATGATCAAAATGAAGAAGTATGGAAATACGTAGCCCCAAAAATTCTAGAGGCTGAATGTCAGCCATAGATTATGACATTATCCAACGGTTTGGATGGTGTCTTGGAATTATGTTTATATATATATATATATATATTATTTTTTTAATGTTTTATATTTGTCTAGTCGGGTAAAATGTAAATATTTAATTTTTTTAGAAAAAGCTTTAAAAAGGTCATAAAAAAAAAAAAATTCACTAAAAAACTTATATCCAAACAACACCTACAAATTTGGAGGGAAAGTTGGTTGAGATTTGCCAAAATAACAAGTGACCATTGAAGTATCATAATATTGCTCTAATTTGGCAAAATAGCACTATTCATTGCCAGATTATAACAATAACAATGGTATTATAGCAACAATAATTGGAGATGTTCTTAGGGTTTTTCACTTTGATACTATCTGTTACTGCATTGCCATTTTTGAGATGAATATACTCTTTAACACTATATAACACACCTAACAACACTTCGTTTCAATTTTTCCCTTTTTTTTTGTTTTATTATTATTTTTAACTATTTTTCTGTAAAAATATATTTATAAAGAATATTGAAAAAATAATAATGGATTAATGCTTATATTAAAAAAAATAAAAAAGTAATAATAATGAAATTGTAAATATATAGAGTGTTGAATGGTATTTCCGTCTAAAAATATTTAGAAGTGTGATTTAACTCACGGTGCAGTAATAGAAGGGGTCAAAGTGAAACATGCCAATAATTTAGGGGATCCATTTGTACGATTTTATAATTTAGTCAAAGTGATAATTCTCAATAGTTTAGAATGTCTTTGTGTACATAATTCAATAAAAAAGTTATGACAAAAGTTTTCAAGATTAATATAGATATGAATCGTGCTGCATCTCCTAATTTTGTCTTCCTAATTCCACGTTTAATGATGTTGTCCACTCTTATATGAAACAGTCCAACACTCCTCTCTCTCTCTCTCTCTCTCTCATCTTTAACCTTCCTAATTTTATATCATTAAATATAAAATTAGAGAAACAAAATTAAGAGGATAAATCATTATTATTATTATTTTTGGGTACATCGGAAAGAAAGAAATAACAACTACGGACTACGTCCTATTACACTCCTCAGAGAGATGTACAATATCCGAAATTAGCAAGGGACGAATTTCCGCAGGTGGGTCATGAACAATAAGAAGATCAGCTGGTTGATATTCGCCTAACTTGGCCATTGCATCAGCACAAATGTTAGCTTCCTTCATAATGTGCTGGATGGAGCAGTAACAACCGCGCATGATAATATATGCATCTTCCACAATGCCTTGAAAAGGACATTTTTCTTCCAGATCTTCACTCAACAGTTGTACCACTTGCTCCGCATATGTTTCCAGTGTCACTAGGTTGAATCCTCTTTGGAGTATGATGGTGAGCCCTTTGTAGACAGCCCAAAGTTCAGCTTCAAGACTAGTGCATATCTCAAGTCTGCCGTAGTAGCTGCTAATCTATGCCCCTGTTTCATCTCGGAATACTCCACGAAACCCGCCACCTCCTCCAAGCCTGCGAGTGCTACCATCCGTGTTGAGCTTGAGTTTTCCTGCATTTGGGCAAGACCACATAGTTAGACTCTTATATTTAAGAGGTGTTGTGACATCTAGCTTGAAAGCTTGAAAAATTTCTTTGCTATAATCTGAAATAATTTTCACACTCTCATGAAATTTGTAATTTTATGTTCAAAAACCATTATATTACGATTCTTCCAAATAATCCAGATTGAAATGAGGAACAAATTAGGATTTTTGTTCTTCCCTTTCACATTCTGAATGATCCAATCTTTCCAAGGCGGAGTGAGCATGTTGAAGTGCTATTCCCTACTGAAGACTTGGCACCATATCTGTACAGCTTGAGGGCAGAGCCATAGTAATTGTTCAATGTCCATCATATTAACACAGTACAGGCATTTGGGATCATTTGTGAGACCCCTCCTGGTTCTCATATGGTTAGTGAGGATAAATCATTATATGATATACTCCTATGCCTAAACTTTTTCGCTTTCCGAAAAAAGTAAAAAAATTGTGCTTTTCTCATGCAACTCAATGCAAGTTTTCAAGTGTACAGATTAGAGAAATAGTAAATTTTGAAGTTTTGAACTCATATAGTATAACCCCTAGCAGGTAGCATACAAGAAACGCTATATATATATATATATTTTGATACCAAATAAAACTTTCTTGAAAATTTGTAAAGAAGCCTTGATGAATCTTGAAGCCATGGCAAAAATTTGATTCAACAAATGAATTAGTAGCTAGTTTTTCATGAGAGAAGGAAATTACTACTACCTTTAAAGGCATCAATTTGTCATATAGTGAAATGATAGAACTTACCACAAATTCACGATGCTATTTCTTGATTTTGCGTGTTTGCTCTGTTCATCCAAACACCATGCTCATCACAGGGGAAAGAAATAAGACCGGGGCATTCTATTTTCTCCAAGTAGATCAAATTGGGAAATAATCTCCTAAGGTCCATCCAATGCATCTGGAAGTCACTCAAGTACTTTAATTGTAACATCTCAATTGTGGTAGTTGCTATTTGGTCTAGATGACACAATAGTCCTCCTCTAATGTGGAGTTTCTTCAAGTTCTTCAGATTGCCAGACGACAACCAACTGGGTGTAACCATTTTAGGGAAACACTCAAGCTCTAGTTTTTGCAATGAGGAAGGAAGCTCCATCTGGATAGGAAGTTCCAAATTATACTGCTTGGTGAACGATCCTGTTAGTGCTCTTGTTAGATTGGCATGTGGCTGTGGTTGTGGTTGTGCTTGCTTAGGTGTGTCGTCTGTTTCGCCTTGTAAAATACATCCTGTCCAGGATATTTTTAACTTTTGCAAAGTTTTTAAAGTTTGTAAATGATGGAGCTGCTCACTTGATGGGAATTCTTTCATATTGGTGTGTAGGCTCAATTTTCTCAACTTCGATAATTTTGCCAAATCGTCGATAGTACATGAGTTTTTATCCTTGGAATCTCCAATGATAAATCCCTTAAGAACTTGGAGTTCTGATAGTGAACCAAGGCCCTTGGGCATGTGATCTAAAAAGTAACATTCAGATATGTCCAAGTGTGTCAAATTCTTAAGTAAGCCAATCCAATCTGGAACAACCTCAAGATTGTGACAAGCTTTGAGATCTAAGATCTTGAGATTAGTCATCTGTGAAATATACTGAGGAAGCTCTGTAATCAAAGAAATTCCTCGAAGGCTAAGAAATCTCAACTTTTTCATATTCTTGAGTGCATTGAGAATTTTGGTGTCTGTAACTTCAATGTGATGCGTGACCGAGTCTTGCCACCTACCCAAGTAAACAGTTGTGAAATAGATGAACTTGAAAAACCCTTCAAACCTGTCATCAATAATGGCCTCACCAACATTGAGGAAGCATGTATAGAAGAAAAACATTAGACTATGATTAAACGTATCCAGAGTACACACTCGTTTACAGCAAAACAGGCGGAAAAAAGAATGAACGAAAGGGTGCATTCTGTAGCTATCCACGGCCAAGCCACGATTTTTGTAGATAGGCTCGATAAAGCTCTTTGTAGTAAAGTCATCCAAGAACTCATTGCCAAATTCCTCTGCCGTCTTCACCAACGCAATTTCTTTGTCCGTTGAGGTAGAGAATGTTGGGGATACAAGTCCCTCTCCAATCCACCAATAAATCATAAGCCTTTTCTTTATGGTAACCATTTCTGGGAACAGCGAGAAACATGCCAAACAAATTTTTTGTTTGACTGAGAGGGCATCGAAAGATACCTTGATTTGACGGAAGTTTGGCTCCTTGTACAAGCTGTGCAAATGGCCGGCGTTGTTTACATCGACTTGGTAGTTGTTGCTGCTACGGTTAATGGATCCATCAAACCATGGATTCCGACGTGGTTTGGAATCATCATCGTAATGGGTTTTCATAATCAGCTTTGATGGAATTTGGGATTTCAATTTCTTGACTTCCACTTTCAGTTCGCTAAGTTCTTCTCCTCCTCTTGTTTTGAGCTGCTCAAATTTCTGACTAGCCTGGTTGATTTGGACATTTATACGATCTACATACTTCTGAACCTTTACCATGGCCTCTTTCATGTAAATAAGATCTCGACCAATCATGTTAGCGAGCGCAGGATCTCCAACGTAGTTGTCATCGTTGTTTGTTGTTGGATTTGGTTGGAAGACACTGCGGTCCATGGCTTTCACTACCAAAAGGTCGTGTTGAAGTCTTCGCCTAGATTTAAGAGAGAGAGAGAGTGAGTGAACACGTTTTTTCTTTGATGGTTAGGGTTTCAAAGAGAGATGGATCAAGAGAGAGAGAGGCAAATGAGAGAAAAGAAACGTTGTGACACCATAAGAGAGACGAAGTGTGTGTGTGTGTGAGAGAGAGAGAGAGAGAGGGAGGGAGAGAGACGCAAGTGAGACTGAGAAAAGGTGCAGGAGAGATAAAGAATGAGCAAGGATCTCTCTTTGGCTTGATCCACTTTTATGTTGTGTTTGGTTGAGGGATTTGGAGAGGGATTTGGAAAGGAAAAGGGAAAAGGTGTGTGAAACTATGTGAAATGTAGGTATATTTTTTTTCATATTTCACCTACCTTTTCCATTTTTCTTTCCAAATCCCTCCTCAAATCCCTCAACCAAACACAGCATTAGACTTAATTTGAATGATCCGAATTATTTATTTTTAAAATTTTTCATATATATTATATTTATAAAAAAAATTAAATCGGTCAGATATAAAAAATTAGGGAAAATTAGTCTAGGGTCCCTCTCCTACTTTTTGTAATGGAAGATCCACAAAATTATTTTTTCATGTCTAAGGTCCCTAAACATAACTCAGACAAATTTGACTCTTCTCACTCTCTACTCTCTCTCTCTCTCTCTCCCCCCTACATCAAACAGTGCTTCGTCTATCTCTCTCTCCTACATCAAACCAGTGCTTCATCTTCGCCGAACAGCACTCACCACCTCTTGAAACGCCGCCACGCTACAAGGAACCACCAACCCATCTCTCTGCTCAAACCCAAACTCATCATAAGCTTTCTCTAATGGCATCTTGAACAGAGAAGGACTATGGTGGTGAAATGTTAGGGTTTGAGAGTAAAGAAGCTGGGGATGTGGTTGGTGGTGATGGAATTGAAGGAGTGGAAGTGAAGGAGAAGGAGAAAGGAGTGCCGGCGGTGATGAGATGCTTTGACAGAGCGAAGATTTTTGTTAAGGCCGGTGATGGCGGGAATGGGGTGGTGGCGTTCCGGCGAGAAAAGTACGTGCCGTTTGGGGGACCATCCGGTGGCGACGGAAAACATAGCCCTAGAATCTTGGTTCCCTGCCACAATTGTATCCCGCATGTGATTCTCCACTGAATCTGAAGGGCACAACACAGCACTTACACCACCCTGGGCATAGTTTGTGTTGCTTTCATGAGGCTCAGCCTTGGTTATCACCGCAACAGTTCCATGTTTTGCAACTTCAAGAGCATAGCGAAGGCCAGCAACTCCACTACCAATCACAGCAAAATCAAAATACTTTGTAGAACCATCTCTCAAGCACGATGTAGTGACTGTTCTGAGGGGTTTTGAATTCTCTTCGATTGGAGAGCGGGAGAGGTTACATCTCTGGAGTTGCAAGAACTTGGACACTCCACATGACCTGAATGTATAAAACACGTCTCTGAACTTAGAAGTATGTATAAATGCTGAAAATTTGGAAACTCTGCTTTTTTCGTGATACGGAAATTAATCTAGAAAAGGACTGCAAATTCTGCCATGAGGTATTATGATATAAAGCGCATTTTTGATAAGCTATACAATAGGACTTTAGTATGTGCACAAAATAAAATGTATGAGCAATGTCTGGCCCACTTAATTCCTGCGGGGTAACATGCCATGAGTGCCGGTGTTTTTGCAAAACCAAAGAATGACTCTTGATGCGATCTAAGATTATGGAAATTCTTAACTTTTGTATAATTCCTATCAAAAAATCTATATATAAAAAGACAATTTATTTGGTGCAAACATCACAACAATAATGTTTCCCGGTTGAAATCAATTAGGACTTAAAACAAAACAAAACAAAACAAATTTTGGGCCAAAAGGACACGCTATCTCAGAATTGAAGACACAACATTATTGCAGTAAACACATTAGAAACTAATGTAAAAACTAAATCATTAGACAAGATAAACACTATAACCATGCTCCTTATCACCTTACCTTGAGAGGTCCTTCTGTATGGATCGCTGAAAGGCAAAAGCAGAGACACAATAAGTTTGTCTGCGACCTTGTCCCCCGCAGATCTTTTTGAAATGTAATTTGCCGCTTCCAGTAGCTATACTAGTAGCCATTGGAATTTCTGGCAAGATAACAACAATTCATGAGTAAATACAAGTTGTAAAGTTCATTTTCAATTTATTTTATTTTTTTGTGTGTGGGCACTAGAAGAGTACTTCAACAAAATAACAAAAGACATGTCATTTTCAGTTTTTCTAACTGCCAGTAACCATATATACCACAAAAGCTTCCTGATTGAAAATTTTCCACCCTTTGCTTGGTTGGTGAGAAAAGTGAGGAAAAAAAATTTAAGAAATGGGAAATGGGTTCATATGAATCTTATGTTGACTATCATTCTGGCTTCCAGGGATGGAACTGAATTATAAAGTTTTATTAGGCTCATGTTTATGGATATATTTCTCAGTAAAAAGAGAAAGAAAAAAAAAATTACAGTAGTTAAATCAATTTTTTTTTCTTTCTTTCTAACCCTTTTCCAAGCAAACAGTTGGATCTTCAAGTAAAATTAAAAATATAAAAAATAAACCTCCGAAATTTCTACTATCAAATCAAGGGATATAAAATATATATATATTTTTTTTTAATAATAAAAACTCCATAAGTTCCAATCAAAAGAGGGGAGAAAAATTGCACACACAAAAAAAAAAAAAACCCACAAACTAAAAACTAAAACATTGAATGGAGAAATGCAAATCAAGATTCAGGAAGTTTCATAGAGACATTAAATCAAACAGAAACAATATATCTCTACAGAAATGAACAAATCTTACAGTTACAAGATCTTTTTCTTGTCCGAAACCCTGGTTGTACGATTGTTGTTGTTGTTCAGAGGATCTGAAGCAAAAAAGAGAGAGAGGAGAGAAGAGTTTTGTGCTTGGACAGCAGCTGGGGAGGAAGCACATGCAGAGTGATCAAGGTATGTGTAAGAAAAATCTTAGCGGACTAGGTTGAGGTCCGGCGGGCAGCTAAGGTGAGGTTGCCGCCCGCCGGGGAAGCGAAAATATCAGGTTCTAAACCTGCTCTGATACCATGTTCAAAATACTGTATTATTGATTGATATATTGATTGATTTTCTGTCTATTACAAATGGTTCCTTATATAGATGTAGGTGTAGTGGATGGTGGTAGTGGTGTAGTGGGTTAGGTTTAGTGGAGTAGGTGAGGTGGTAGTGGTGTAGTGGGTTAAGTTTAGTGGAGTAGGTGAGGTGGTAGTGGTGGTAGGTGATGGTAAATTCTAACACTATAAAGGAAGTTGATGATTTGTTGGTTGTGTGCGTTAGTCAAATGGCTATTACAGCTAGCAATGACCTTCTCTGGAAGTCCCTGAACCATGAGGTGAGTGTAGAATTTTTTCAGACTTGACCACATTGCATGTTGTCAATGCTCTTAGCTGTGGACCTCAACTTTAGGTGTTTAAAACTTAAATAATGAGGTGTTCTTATAAAATACAAGCAAAAACTTGTTTTGGACTAAATTCTCTCTCTATTGAGTCTATTATTGTTATGTACAATCCATCATGTGCTTCATATTGATTTCTAAGTTATATTTGACTCTCTGTGCACCTATGGATAGAGCTATCAAAGAGATAGTATCTGGCATTGTGTAGCGCAGTGCTTTTATAGCAACTCAAACAACAAAAGAACTTGTTTTAAAAGTCTTATTATTATTATTATTATTATTATTATTATTATTATTATTTCATCTATATGATAGTATTATTATTTCATGCATAGGAAAAATTGTTAGTAGTTGCTTTCTTACTAGAGAATAACAACGCAATTGTAGGATTATGCCATAAGAGTTAGATGAGACACGCATACGTAATGCAGCACACTTGATGGTTGCCAGTTTGGCTGGAAGTTTAGCTCATGTAACATACAAGGTTTCATCTCAAACTGGAGATCTCTTTTGTTGTTCTATTGTCCTGTTTTGTTATCCGAAAATATAGCATTCCTATCTGATTAGAATCTTATGTTTGTCTACCTTTGTTACCTGGTGTTTGACAATGATTGTGTGATTACTGATAGGAACCCTTATGTGGCTCAATATTAAGTCAGCTTAGGAATTCGCTTCAGGGTTTAAATATTGCAAGTGAACTTGAACAAGCTGTGCAACTTGTTACTAATAATAAACTTGATCTGGGCTGTGCACTAATTGAACAAGCTGCAACAAAAAAGGTTAGATTGCTTTCTATTTTCTTCCACAAGAATGCATTTATGCATATATTTATTTATCCATTTATTTATACGTTCACTTCAGTGCTTTGGATTCACATTATGCTAAATTGATAATGCACGCAATAACACGTAACAGATTTCACTTCTAATATTTGGAAAGTTGTTTTAGAAGTTGTATAGAATACCAAAGAATATTTTGTTGTTGGATAAGGTTCTAAGAAGGCCCTACCTGTTTCTTTCTCGAAGGAAGCTTGCTACACATGTGAAAATATGGCTTAACAAGTGTGGATTGAGAGGGAGAGCTGATCAATCATCCCTAGACACTACAACTACAATATTGTCCTCACATAATATTGTCCTCACCAAACCTGATAATGTAGAAATGGTTGAATGGAAAGCATTTGTGAAACAACGAACTTCCAAAGAATTTAAGGTAAGTTTCCGAATAGAAACTCTCTAATTTTTATGAACTAATTAGACCACCAAATTTTCTCATAGTGATTCAATTATGAATTATTAATCATATAAATTATGGCATTCTTCTTTTGTATATGTAGGCAAAGAGTAAAAGATTTAGGGCAATGAGGAAAAAGCAAACCCTCTTACACACCATGAGTCGTAAAGGTTATGCACGATTAAAGGATGAAATGATAAATTTAAGAGTGTTTCAAGTAGTTTTGTAAATTGAGTATGAAGTATGGTTGCTATGAAATCGTTTTAATCATGTTGGTTTTCATTTTCTATTTTATTTTATGCATATATTTTATTTTAGTTGTTTTAGTTTTGTAAATTGAGCTCTGCATAATTGTATGTTTGAGATTGTTATCAACTTGATATGATAGAAGTTGAGGATGAAAGTTAGTATGCATGTTGTTAGGTGTATGGATATTGGATTTTTTTGCGTACTTCATAGTTGTTGCTTCTGCTTAGTTTGTTAACATGTTGCATTTTATAAGTTACTGTCTACATACTGTTAGGCAAGGTTATATTCCTGTATATATATTATATATTAAAAATAATCTTCTACAGCAAATAAAATTATGTAATGAAAAGTGTAATAATTTATGACATGCAAAAAAATGTCGTAAAAGATTATATATGGCATACAAAGTATGTCATAAATATATTAAAAATCACCTACGGCATACAAAATTATGTCGTGAAAAGTGTGATGATTTATGACATGCAAGAAAATACTGTAAAATATTATATACGGCATACGAAGTATGCAATAAATATATTAAAAATAACCTTCTACGGCATGCAAAATTATGCCATGGAAAGTATAATGATTTATGGCATGACAAAAATGTCGTAAAAAATTATATACAACATACAAAGTATGTCATTAATGTTTAATTTATTACTTTTTACAACTTTACCTGTATGTCATAAAAGACACTCAACTTTTCACGGCATGTCATATAACAACATTTGTGTGTATACCGTGAAAGAGTTTTTACGACATGCATTGCAAGTCGTAAAAATTCAATTTTGTTGTAGTGTGGGTGGATTGCACTAGTTCACTAATATCACCAAGTATTGGGTATATTAGTACGAGAGGTAATGTTGGTTGTATAATTTGTAAAAGTCAAGCACAATTCAACACGTGGCACGAAGGGGGCAATTTGAGGAGTTAATACAAATTGTCAACCAAAGTCAAACATATGGCAGTTCGTATTGGTAATAATGGATCTGCATAACACTAGAACAATGGAGAGATATAAGATGATGTGACCTAACGGTTACCCATAAAGTTTAAATTCAAAATTAAGAGGGAAGCCTAACTGCAAGAGTAGCGTAGCGGGACTAATTGTGAGAGAACATGTTCAGCAATCATGGGAGGGCATTTTCGACGGTTACCACTGAGAAGTATAAATAGCAAGGAATGCTCCAGAATGAAGACCCAGACTTAGATCCAAAAATCAGTTTATTTACTTCATATTTCTTTCCTGTTTTACAGTTCTTTACATTTTGCACTTTAATTCCTGTACTGCACTTCATTTCCTAAGAGTAATTTCAAACAGTTTGTTGCTGTGAACCTCTACAATGCTGAGTCAGATCATTGTAAGTTTTCATTTACTTAATGAAATTCAGATTCTGAAATTGTTCTTCACTTGTTGTAATTTATTAATTTTTCCTAAACAAGGCACCAGTAAAAGTTCTCTTCATTGAGGCTGAAAGAACTATAACACAATCGTCTGATAATTGGTTGGCAATTAATATTCTATAATGACTAATTGATCCTTGCTGACACGTTTAAATTTACATCATTAACCTTCGAAAGCCAAAAAGTCAACAAATTGTATGTAGAGTGATGCGGTGTTTGGAATCCAGCTAACAAAGTAACAATTTTTTTCTTCTTTGTTCGGAGTGATTTGTTAAAAAATAATATCAAAATTCTTACTCTTTAAATGCGATTTTTATAAATAAATCTAAAGTTTTAAAAAAAATTCGTTTTAAGTGGTCCTGTTTGTACATTGGTTTGTTTTTAAAATTTATTTTTATATAGAAGTGATTTTGAGATAAATAAAAGCATTGTAGAACTCAAATCTCCATACAAACCTTTATTCTCCTTTTTTTTAATTTTATTTTTTGAAAAAAAAAAAACTAATCAAACCCATTTAATTTTTTAATGGGTGTGGTCTTTTGTTTTTCCCCAATTATAAAATGAAAGGCAAATTACATATACCTTTCTTGAGGTTTAACTAAATTACAGATACTTTCTTGAGGTTTCGAAAATTACAAATACCTCCTGAGATTTATATTTTTACAACAAATTGTCTCCTGAGGTTTATATTTTCATAACAATTTGCCCCCTAATTTGTTATGCAAATATAACCTTCAGGGGGTATCTGTAATTTCTCAAACCTCAGGGAGTATCTATAATTTTGCTAAACTTCAAGGGGGATATATGTAATTTGCCCTAAAATGAAGCAGTTTCAATTCAAGTGAATTTTTTTAAAAAAATAAACTAACCGACGCCATTTTAGCTTCACAGGACACAGCATCGTACCCAACCCATCTGACTTTCCATGGGCTTTGTTTGGTTCTAGTTGGGATTAAAAAAATATAAAAAATAAAATAGACTAAATAAATTAATAAGATAAAATATCACATCTAAATCATGATTATTTTATTTTTTCTCTCACAAAAATCAAAAAAATAAAAAAAAATTTACCAAACAAATTTTTTAGTCCCAATCTAAAAAGAATCTCAACTCTAAAAAATTAACTAAAAAAATTTTGCCAAACGTAATCAATCATAATAAATAAATAATAATTTGATATATCTAATATATTTTATTAATTTATATTCTATTTCTCTATTTATAATTGATGTTTATACAAATTTACACATTTAATTAGTAAAATTTATTAATAATATAAGTGTTATTTCATATTTTAGTTACGGGATAGTGGACTGGGGTGTACTATTGGGCCTGTGGAACCTACCACGAGTCTCATTTCAATAATTCGAACCATTAATGTGTAAAATTCATCGAGTACTTCATGCCTGCAAAAAACCACGTTGATCGGATATCAATAAGCCCTTGATCGGAACACATTTTGTTAACAAATTATTTTTAAAATCATATTTACCATTGAAAAAAATGTATTCCGATTAAGAGACTACTGATAACCAATCAAAATAATTTTTTTTGCAGGCATAAAGCACTCAACGAGCTTTACATATTAAACGGTTCGGATTATCGAAACAGGATCTATAATGAGATCCACAAGTCCAATAGCACGCTCCAGTCTACTGTGTGAATTGGAGAGAAGCCTCCCCTTTACTTATAGGCCTCGTTTGGGAAATTGGTTATTTTAGTAGACTATTTTAGTAAATTAAAATATTTGTGTTTGGAAAGATGATTAGATCTTTTTGCAGTTTGATGTGATGTTTGTAAGAAAAGAAGTAAAATGATTATGAATTTGATGTGATATTTTGTCTTATTAACTATTTTAGCCTATTTTGATTTTTTAAAAATTTTAACCCAAAAAACAGTTAAAACTCAACTTGCCAAACAGGGCTATTATCTTTTCTGCTAGGCTTTGGGGCAGGTTGCTACAATTTGCCATTATTATTTTTTGGATAAATTACATTTTATCCCATTTATGTTTGATCACATTTTTATTTTTACCCTTGAAATTTATTTTTTTTCCACTGACTCTTTATGTTTTAATTTTTTTTCAGTTTACTTGTAAAGCTAATTTCTATTCAAAATTAGACAGAAACGGCACAATAATTGTCCCATAATATAAAAAAATATTATTATATTGATGTTTGATTTCCTCACATAATCCAGAGAAAATTTACACAGCCCAGAGAAAATTCACACAGTCCAGAAAAAATTCAATCTGATTTCCTCACATACTCGACATTAGGGCACTCCTTTCTCAGCCTCTGAACCTTGCGCAGTCATCAACCTTGTAGAACTGCAAGACTGCGAGCTTAATCTTATTCTTCTTGTGTTTGATCTTCAGCCGTCCTCCAGTTGCCTTTTGACAAAGTAATCAATTTTTGATAATGTGAGATCACTACCAACAGAGATCTGAAAAATAAATGCAAATCAAGTATTTTCGAAACAGAAACAGAGTAGAGAAAGTGCAAAATATGAAATCCTAGACCATACAGACACATAGTGAATTCAAAATGAGAGAGAGAGAGAGAGAGAGAACCTTGTCAAAGTCCTAAGGAGTGACACCAGGAAAGTAGGAGTAAGCATTGTAGGGAAGAAGAAGCAGAATGATTGTTAAGATCAATGAACGAATCACCAAGGATCGATGAGCTCCCAAGGAATTAGAGAGAGAGGTTTTGGAAGTTGGCATGGAAGAAAATCAAATTTCTCTGTGATATATGGGGTTAGGGTTGCGGGACCTTAAACATCACAAAATAATATTGTGGACCTTATGCAGTACTAAAAATAGGATAGGGACTTTAGACTAATTTTCCCATGAAGAAAACATAAAATATAAAATAGTCTAAATAAGTTAATAAGATAAAATGTCACATTCAAATCATAATTATTTCAACTTTTTTTTTCTCACAAAATCAAAAATAAATAAATAAATAAAACCAAAAAGTATTACCAAACAGACATTTTAATCCAAAGCTTAAAAAGCCCCAACTTTAAAGAACCAACTAAAAAAAATTTGCCAAATATAATCAACCATAAGACCTACCACGGGTCTCATTTCAATAATCCGAACCAGTCAATGTGTATAACTCGTCGAGTACTTCATGTCTACAAAAAATCACGTTGATCGAATATCGATAGCCTCTTGATCGGAACACATTTTTGTTAATAATTTAGTTTTAAAAACATATTTACCATTGACAGAAATGTGTTTCGATAAAGGGGTTACCGATATCCGATCAAAGTGATGTTTTGCAAGCATGAAGTAATCGACGAGCTTTACACATTTAACGGTTCAGATTATCAAAACGGGGACCTATAACGAGATCCATGAGTCCAACAGGACACTCCAATCCACTGTGTGGACTGGAGAGAAGCCTCGTCCTTTACTTATAGGCCTCGTTCTGGAAGTTGGTTATTTTAGTAGTTTATTTTAATTTTTAACTTTAGTAAGCTAAAATTTTTGTATTTGGGAAGATGGTTAGATCTTTTTATAGATGTAATATTTGTGAGAGAAAAAGTGAAATGATTATGAGTTTGATATGACATTTTATCTTATTAACTATTTTAACTTATTTTATCTTTTTGTAAATTTTAATCTAAAAAAAAAGAAACTAAAACTCAACTTGCCAAACAGGGCATGATCTTTTCTGCTAGTATTTGGGGCGGATTGCTACAATTTGCCATTATTATTTTTTGGATAAATAACATTTTATCCCGTTGGTTGC